ATATATTGTGTGTGTTTGTGTGCATGTGTATAGTTACATATATTTGTGTATTTAAGTACGGTTGTAACTACATGCAAGCAGTTCTGTAATACTTGACTGTGTGTACATATATATTTAGCGGACTACCGGATAAAGTAAAAACGCATGTGCGTAATTGGTTTATTTAGTGTCCTGTTTTCTACAACCACGTAACGTCCTTCCGTGTGTCATCCGATTGTGTATTTTTCTCATGGAAAACATACTTGTACACTATTGGGGCATATTTGTTGGGGTTGTGTTGTAATATATAATCGTGTATTAAGTTTCTTGGTTAACCTATGCTGTGACGCGGTTTTATGTGTTGTAGCCTTGTGTGCGTTTAGTATTACTTGTCTGCGTTGTCGACCATATATCGATGAATATTGGCAGTGAAATATACTTGATCGTAAACATTCATATATTATTTGTTTTTAGTTTTTATTTGGCTCATTTTATCGGACTACTGATGTTTGTGTTTCGTATTTACTTATGCTGTCTTGTTTGCCTGTTGACCATAGCATCAATATCGATGGCTATTCCACTATTTCTTATGTCTGCTTCAGTGGCTATTGCCACTGTGTCGCCCTATTGTATGTTATCACCTATGTCAACCCTTGATCGCAGCAATAATACTTATCAAAGTCGATGTCTTTATACCTACTAGAAAGTACAAAGGCTGACGAGCAAGATCCAATTTGACACACTCGAGGTGGATCCAGAGGATACCGAGAAGATTAAGGAGATGCAAACCATCTTAATGGGCACGGACCCCACTGATGACCCTATCAATACAGAAACAGTCAGTAAGAAAGAAGGAAAGGATGAGTAAACGAGTAGAGACACGACGAGTGCGCTGTTCAGATGTGGCTGGAACCAGATGAAATAGTGATTTATCGTACAGGGGATTTTACATCAATTGAATAGTTTTTTTAATTTACTCTCCAGAAAAGCTATACAAATAGGATTCAAAGGTTTCATCACAACAAGGGGAAGCTATAGAGTTTGGTTTGATACAATTGTATTGTTTGTTTATTTTAAATTAATATAAATAAAATCGAGTAGTTCCTATATTTGAAAATATAGCCCACTTCACATCGTTCCCATTGTTATATCCATCGCCTGAAATTTCCATTATTAGGCCGACCTTGTTATTTTTGTAATTGTTTAGCTTGGTCTTTGTGAAGGCGAAATCTCGACACGATGGTTACACAATACTGTAGTAAGCTGACAAGTCCACTATGTACATCCTATTAACATCTTTGAAGAAATTTTGTCAGTTCGCTTCACATCTTTACCATTGTTATATTCATCGCCTGAAATTCCCATCATGTGCCCTATATAATAAGCCGACCTTATTATTTTTGTAATTATTTAGCTTGGTCTTTTATGTGAAGGCGAAATCTCGACACGATAATTTTACGCAACACTATAGTAAGCTGATAAGTCCACCTTGTAAATACTTACAAATACATCTTTGAAGAAATTGTCAGTCCGCTTTTTGCCCATTTTTCGACCGGCCCACTGATCCTGTTATGGACCCAAATTCTAAAAGGCCTCCAAAAAATCCCAATAGAAGTGATCTTTACACCAATGAAATTGCGTCTATGATATGGTTTTTTGTGTTTAGAAATACATAGCCAATATGACTAAAAGCTCACATATTTTGTTTATTTTAAAACAATAATAGAAAACATTCATTTTGTTTTTAAATAAAAAACTATAAATAGATGTGATAAAAATTAAAAATACGAAATCACAAGAGAGAGTGAAAAGAGTGAGACGGCGAGAGTGAAACCTGTAGCTATGAGTCGTGAGAGCACCGAGCAGGTAGTCTTGGAGTCTTGGACTCTCTGGGGGGATGTGAGATATGTAGGTAAATAGTGTAGACTGTAGAATGTAGACTGTAGAGTAGAGTGTAGACCTGACCGAGGAGCACATATTTTTCGATAATAAATATGGCGAAAAATTGGCATATTATTACTTTTTAAAATATTGAATATTCACTGAAAACGTTAAATATAAAATATGAAATATGATGTGAAATTTGGAAGAAAAAAATATGTAATACGCGCGTTGATTTCAGAAATATGGCAAAATAATAATATTTAGTATAAAAAAATTGAAATATGCCATAAATATGTCATATTTCTAAAATATGCCATATTTATGAAATGTGCTATAATTTCTATATATATATATATATATATATTTACGAAATATAAAATATAGTATTTCACGGCTGTATTATAAGAATTGTGTACGCATATAGCCTGTATTTTGCAGTTCTATCAAATGATTTATATATGCATTGGCTGTATTTTGTATTTATATTAGAATAATTATATAGGCAGAGTGGCTGTAGTTTGAAGCTATATTAAAGAAATTGCACAGGTGTATAGTAGCTGATTTATAGCTGATGTAATAAAATATCGCATATATATTTTATTTCATATACTATATTATTTCATATATTTCGTGAACATGTATATTGTACAAATGGCATATTTCTAAAATATAGCATATTTCATATATATATATATATATATATATATCTATATATATATATATATATATATATATCTATATATATATATATATATATATATATCTATATATATATATATATATATATAGATCTATATATATATATATATATATATATATATATATATATTAT